TCTAGATCTGTGCCCTGTGAGCCTGGAACATTGCAGGATTCTACCTTGCACAGCACTTTGGTTTTCAGCAAGCTAGTATCTGAAAACATTTTGCAGCTCTCTTGCTGTTGTAAGATGGGATCACTTCTGTTGTAATTTCAATACTTTTCTCTTTCAGAAATGATTTTGAAGACATGAAGCATAGGAATACTATGCTTTCTGTAAGGAGTTAAAAAAATTCCAGAAAAAAGCTCCACCTGCATTTCCCATGTCCAAATTTTATTTACTGTCCTGTGTTTCTTAAACTTTGTATCTTAGTTTTTCTACTTATTTATCTATCCACCCACCGAAACATGCATCCATCTACCTACCCACCTACTTATCCATCCAGCACCTACCTACTAACTAACCTCCACCCATCCGTCCGTCCATCTGTCCGTCCGCCCGTCCATCCATCCATCCATCCATCCATCATCCATTTACCTACCCACAGACCCATCCATCCACCTACCTACTCACAGGCCTATCCATCTGTCCATCCACCGATTCATAGATCCATTAATCCATCGATCCATCTGTCCATCCATCCACCAATCATCCATCCATCTATCAAGTATCTACCCACAACCCGTCCTTCTACTCACTTCTGGACTTTCTCAGAGAATCAGGAGCGGAGTCAACCTGACTGACATTTCCAAATCTGTTTCCATACACTTCCCTTGTGAGGCAAACCTCCTGCTGGTGATGAAGAAGCAATAGGAAGATCAACCAATATTACACAAACACCATCACTATTATCTTTACCACAGGGCAGGCAATGACAAAGCTTGACCACAGCCCCCCTGGCAGTGGGACAATGCCATTCCCTGCAGCTCTTTTTAGGTGATTCTTGGGCAGATCGGTTTTATTTATTGCATTTGATTTTTTTCTATTTACCCTTTTCCTTGTTCTAAAAGCAAATAAACTTATAAAGAGAACTACATTGTAGGCAGGAAGTCATAATAAAAACACACTGGGTTCTCATAAGTATATTGTTATTACAATGATTTAATGTACTTACTTCTTTACTGTGTCCAGGTAGCAAATGATGCTACATGCTGACTGCCCTTTAACATTTCCTTTTTTAAATATGTATTTTATGTATATGAGTGACCTGTCTTCACACACATGATGAGCCACCATGTCGTTGCTGGGAATCGAACTCAGGACCTCTGGAAGAGCAGCCAGTGGCCCTTAACCACGGAACCATTTCTTCAGCCCCAGCCTTTAACATTTCTAAGTCTCCAATTAGCTCACAAGTTTGCATCAAACTTAAAAGCAGACCACACAAGCATCAAAGATAGGCTTTTCCCCAATATCCCACCTCATCTGATACACAGTTTAAACTTTGTTTGTTGCATAGAACTATGCAAGTAAGAATAAACACAATGCCAGCTGAGAAACACGACTGAGCTCCTTCTCTGACTGTATCGTAGGACTTGTCTAAGTGTTGATGTTTCCTGTTGGGACTGTGGCTCACTTCGACTCTTTGCTCTCTTGTGAAACAGGTTCAGGAGTCTTGGCTTGTTTTTATTAAATAGCAACCTGCAGAGCGAAGCTACGAACTTTGTCTTGGCCAGTTTGGTTTGTGGGTTTTGAGGATCCAGACTTAAGTGATGCTTAATTCACACTCTTGGGACCGGATCTCCTCTTTTTGCCTCTCTTCCTAGGAATTTTAATATTATTATTATTTATTTTTTGAGCTCAATCTATTTTGATTTTTGTCAACTCTAAGATACTTTCATCATGCAGTATGGGTGGATTTTTTGTTGTTGTTTTTGCTTGTTTTTAGTGGTGGCAGTGGCCCTCACTGACCTTGCATCTTATTTTGCATTTGGCATCATTTCAAAGGCAGGGGAGTAGACAGCCAACACAGTTTCTCTTCCCTACTATTATTCCCCAGCAAAGCAACACCTCAGAAGAAGCAGGCAGAGAGACCCATGGCTCTGGGTAATTCTCAACCAAACTGAGGTTTAATCAGAAACTCAGTAAGCTACAGGCATTCACATGAGCTCAACAAGCTTGATATAAAAAAGAATTATGAAAAAATAAGAGTCACTAGATACCAAAACCACTGTAAGATCCAAGATCCTGTTTGGTGAGAAATCCAAATTTGGAAAATTTGAGAAGTGAAGAGTCTGACTGCATAAAGGCCCCACAGGAAACTGAGCCTGAGGTGGGGCGTCTCCTCAGAGTCGCTTCTCAGCCTTGAGCCCATGAAGGCGAATTTTAAAAAACAGCATTCTAGTGTACATTTACCAAGAAAGCCCAAGTAAGAAAATGCTAAAGAAGACTTCCTATCTCAAAGGCCAAGTTAATCTTTCAGGTTACAGAAATAAGATACAGGGACAAAGACCATCCCCCCTCCTTTGTGGCATCTCCCACTATAGCTCAGGCTATGCTTTAAATAACATTTTCTTCCCTGCTGGGCAGTAGCATCATTACCTGTCCTTGTATCTTCTCTTCCTTGTCTGTCTGGAGCACAGAATCTCAGGGTTACAGTGTGGACACAAAATCTCAGGGTTACAGTGTGGACACAGAATCTCAGGGTTACAGTGTGGACACAGAATCTCAGGGCTACAGTGTGGACACAAAATCTCAGGGTTACAGTGTGGACACAGAATCTCAGGGTTACAGTGTAGACACAGAATCTCAGGGTTACAGTGTGGACACAGAATCTCAGGGCTACAGTGTGGACACAAAATCTCAGGGTTACAGTGTGGACACAGAATCTCAGGGTTACAGTGTGGACACAGAATCTCAGGGCTACAGTGTGGACACAAAATCTCAGGGTTACAGTGTGGACACAGAATCTCAGGGTTACAGTGTGGACACAGAATCTCAGGGCTACAGTGTGGACACAAAATCTCAGGGTTACAGTGTGGACACAGAATCTCAGGGTTACAGTGTGGACACAGAATCTCAGGGCTACAGTGTGGACACAAAATCTCAGGGTTACAGTGTGGACACAGAATCTCAGGGTTACAGTGTGGACACAGAATCTCAGGGCTACAGTGTGGACACAAAATCTCAGGGTTACAGTGTGGACACAGAATCTCAGGGTTACAGTGTGGACCCAGAATCTCAGGGCTACAGTGTGGACACAAAATCTCAGGGTTACAGTGTGGACACAGAATCTCAGGGTTACAGTGTGCAGCACAGAATCTCAGGGTTACAGTGTAGACACAGAATCTCAGGGTTACAGTGTGGATACAGAATCTCAGGGTTACAGTGTGCAGCACAGAATCTCGGGGTTACAATGTGGACACAGAATCTCAGGGCTACAGTATGGACACAGAATCTCAGGGTTACAGTGTGGACACAGAATCTCGGGGCTACAGTGTGGACACAGAATCTCGGAGTTACAGTGTGCAGCACAGAATCTCGGGGTTACAGTGTGGAGCAGAGAATCTCAGGGTTACAGTGTGGAGCACAGAATCTCGGGGTTACGGTGTGGAACACAGAATCTCAGGGTTACAGTGTACAGCACAGAATCTCAGGGTTATAGTGTGGAGCACAGAATCTCACAGTTGCAGAGGGCCTATAACACACTAGCCACAGACACATTGCAAAAGCACACTTTCTCAGATTCCAAGATAAACAAGTTACATTAAGACTGACTAATACTAGGCAGAATGAAAAAAATTAGAAATCTCTTTCCTTCATTTTGGTAAATTTTTGCAAAGGTAAGGATTATTCTGGCCGAGGAGCCCAGAGAATGACCTGAATTGTATGATTTCTGGATGGTTTTATAAACAACCATTTTAGATCTTCCAGTACAAAATTTGCCTGTTACCCACACAAGTCTCACTGACGATGAAAATTTCATTAATTAAACAGGTGTAACCTGTATGCTCACATGCTGAATAATTAAAGTTCAATTCCACTGAATGCAAATTTAGCAGAGACAATGAGAACACGCAGCAGTAACTGTTACTACATTTCGTTACACTGTGGTAAAGGTGAATTTCCTTCCCCGTCCAAAAATAAATACATAAAGAAAAGTCCCATAGGGGAGTGAGAAATCAGGAGGTAGGAAAATCTCTACACTATGATTGGTGAGGGAAAAACAAACCAAGAGAGAGTCAAGCAAGACAAAAAACAAACAAACAAAAACCTCAGCGCTGTATCTTTTGAAACCCTCTACGTGTTAGCCTTGGGAATCATCTGAACATACAGTGTAACCAGGAAAGACGGCATGATGCCAGTCACCATGGCACCAGCCATTCCCGCTCCTTTGCTGTTCACCTAAATCTTTTAATTTATTTTTAATGAATTAACCAATTTTTTTTGAGACAGGTTCTCTGTGTAGCCCTGGATGTCTTGGAACTCACTTTGTAGACCAGGCCGGCCTCAAAGTCACTGAGATCTGCCTGCCTCTGCCTCCCAGGTGCTGAGATTTAAAGGCATGTGCCACCACCGCCCAGCTCATTCTACTGAATCTTAGGGATAAAGTTCTAAAATTTAAGAGTGTCCAGATCTGTAAGATCCATTTCCGATTGAGAGGAGTGAATTTACAAGTACCATACAGAACCTTCCAGAATAACCAACCCATGGCATTAGTTGCAAGTGGATGCCTTGAATTTGTAGTCGAACAAATATTTGAGAAATCATACCAAGTTCTTTCCAGACAAGCAAACCGTATAAGGACATGTCAGACACATTTGCTATGAAACACTCATACCCACTCTTAAATCCCTACTGACTCTAAGAAATGGCTTCACCTTTTTTCCCCACAGCTAAATGTAATGCTCTATTGCCGACCCAGCTTCCGTCCAGATATGCAGAGGGGTGTTTAGTTTATAAAATCCTTTCCACCTAAGAGATGACTTGGGGTTTGTCATGATGCCAAGTCAGAGATTTTCAAACCAATATCACGCATGAGACAAGTACAGCAGACATGAGATGAAACCCCTTATCACGGCAGTCACACGACGTTAGGCGCACAGTGACCTTCGGGGCGGTGATTCCACTCCTCACTCCTAGGGTTCAGGATCATTGGTTGGAGTGCCACACAGATCTGGAAAACGCATAAGAGAGTCACTAATGAGTAAATCCCAGGTCACTGAGTCGTTTTTTTTTCCTCTACAGAAGGCCCACACCGGTGGCAGTACATTTTAAAGTTTTCCTTGTTAAAAAATAATAAATGTAAGTACACGGAAAAGTAGAAAGGAGCACATATCTAACCCCCCACTGGATCCTGAGCCCAGCTTCTAGAAAGATTCACAGGCCAACGCAACTGCTCTCATCTCATCTTCTGGTGTTCAGGACCAAACATATCTTGCGGTCCCCCACAGGTGCGGGAGTATTGTAGGGAGATTCAAGCAGGGTGTTTCACAGTGAGAATGAGTAAGATGCTGGCAGAGACCTTAGGAGGCACTAATTATTTTGATTCACACTGCTTTAGCTATGTGACTTATTTGCAATATGCTAGCCTTTGAGAGTAATGATTTTTTATGTGAGGTTAGAATCTAAGTTTTCCCTCCCAGGTTGAGAAGTCATATAAAATTAAGGATATTCATCCACTTAAATGTTGGCTATTTCTAGATCCTTGCTCTATTACACAGTGGCTAAGATGTTTCTAAGTGCCGTGGTTGGATATCAGCACAGAGTGATTAATACAGAACACACTTAGGTTTCCATTTAGACCCTTCCGTCTCCAGGACAGCAGGGAAGCCATGCACGTTCAATCCACAGCCTTGTGTCCTCTACCTTGTATGGACACAGTTGTAGTTTGAGTCACGTTCTATATCATATCATGGTTTCAGTCAAGATATCAAAATGATCCTCAGGAGAGGCAGGTGTTTTAGGCCACAAGAAGATGCCATTGGAAAACATAGGGAAGTTACTTCTTTTTCTTTTTCCTTTTGTCTATGAAAAAAAGAGACGCGAGGCCTAAGCCTGGCTCCTCCGTCTTACACCAAGAGCAGAGTGTGCTTGCTGACCTTTCTTCTACCCAGTGCGTGACAACTCAGCGGCACCCACAGAGCCGAGCAGCGCCCTCCCTCACTGAGCTCTTCCCCACCCAGTAGGTAACACCAGCACTTATGAGGCTCTCACGGCTGTGGTACTTCATAATTCAAAACCGGCCACCCTGTGACAGAGACAGGCCTTCTCATCATCCCCCCTGTGTGCCTGCACGTGAGGGCAAATGACTGAGCCTTGACACATTGAAGAGTTAGACTGTGTCCTCATCTGCTCTGCTCCAGAGAAAGGCAGGCAATCTAGACAAAGCAGGAAAGAGTAAAACTCATATGGTCAGTGTGTATGTTAGGTATGGAAAGTAAGCTTCCAGCAAATCTCGAGCCCTAGGAACTTCTATTTTCTAAATAATTATTTATCGTCCTGTGAGCAATAGATGAGTGTTTCTTAGTTCTCGGGATGGCGTCTTCCATGTGGTGTGCTCCCCACCCCCTATACACACTTACATACAGAACACAGCCCTGAGACCCGGTTCACACTGCTGAGATGAGGCCACAGCAAAGCAGTTGTCTAACACAGGGCACACCGAATCTCTGAAATATAGCTGGTCCCCTGCACTGGTAGAAAGCTGTAGATGACACTTTAAGACACCAGGAGTGAGTTTTTCTGTGACGGGAATGTCACCTTTCATGCCGCGGGACTCTGAAGCCACCCCGTGTGGTAAATCACAGCGCTCCTTTGTTACGTTTGTGTTCACTGGGATTTATCTGCTAATTTGTTTTACTTGAGACAGAGTCCACGTAGCCCAGGTTAGCCCTGCTGTGTGGTGAGGTGTGTGAGTGTGTGTGTGTGTGTAACATACTCCCTATTTGTATGTTGGAGGTCAGGCAATTGTACACTAGCTAATAACTACTCCATGAGTATACACTCCATACAAGATGCTATCTTGAGAACGGGGGAAACACTCACCTATTGCTTTTAGGGAGACAAATAATTATTTAGAGAAGAGATGCCTCTAGAACAAGAGATTGGGCTGGCAGCTTGGCCTCTGTATCATTGGATGTTGTTTTGACTTCTTCCGGCAATAATTTATGTCAGTCTGAAAGAACAGTTTACCTTGCTTTCACGGTGTTAGCCTGCTTCAGTAGGGCCAAAAATGCTCAGTCTCTGAAGTTGCCCCAGTTTTTGGCTTAGGTATAAGCTGCTGTATCCATCACAAGCTTCGTGAAGAAGCCCAGCCAGAAAGAACTCTATCCACCATGCTGCCCAAGCACCGCAGCGGCCTTCGGCTCTGCACACCCAGCTGCTGGCAGGAAGGAGCTGAAAAGCGACCAAATGTCTGGTGTTCGCGGCTACATTAGCAGCCCTACATGTCCCTCTTAGGTTTATCCTCCACGCTTATATTTTCATTTCTATTTCCAATTACGCCTATACAGAAAATGAAGAGGGGGTGCTAACATTTCTGAACCTGAGTCAGATCACTGGACCTGGGAGCAGTCTTCCCTCCCTAGAATCTTAATTCAGGGCAGTGACTCCCAGAGACAGTGGCTGACACCCCTCAGGTCTTTCTGGAATGCCTCTGTGTTCATGTAGTCATCTCTGGTGTCTATCATAGGCGACATGGGCTGTTTCAGGTATTTATAGGGAAAACTAGCAAACAGATTTCAAACCCTGCTCATCGTATGTGTACTACTAGATAATATGCACTTAACACAACCAAAATGACTGAAAACCTTTCTTTGGGAAGTATGGCTTTGAACTTGTGTGAATGTCACAATTCCATCATTATATAACAATATGAAACATCTCAGGCTATCAAACAATCCTCTCGATGTTATTTACTGCATTTTTCTACAAGCTCCCACAAAAATGGACTTTTAGATAGAAAGCAACCTTATTGTCTGCTCAAAGTGAGAAAACAAATTGTCTCGTTAGTGTAAGGTATGTGGCCCTCTTATCTAGAAACTTTTAATGACATCAACATAGAGCTATAAGCACACAGTAATATTCCTTTAAGGACTTGAGCACCACATCTGTGAATATCTGCCGAATTCGACCTGCAGCTTTTGCATGGCTTCCAGGGCACTCCCGTGGGTCAAACCATTGTCTTCATATAAACTCACTCCTTTTCTGCCCAGGACAGCCAAGAAGCCCTGTTCAACAGATTACACTGTTCTCATCTCTGTCCCAGCATGCCAGAATGAGGGCAGAGGTGTGCTCGAGCAGACCGGGGGGNGGGGGGGGGGGGGGGGGGGGGGGGGGGGGGGGGGGGGGGGGGGGGGGGGGGGGCTGGCCATCACAGGCTTCACCTTGGTATACAGTAGATAACGTTCTGTTCATTTTTTTCTTAGCTTCTAAGTAGGCATACAAGTGTCTAAAATATGAAGCAAGTATTATTTAAACATGTCGAGACAGGAAAAAAACACTTTAGGTATAGATACTTAGGTGAAAGAACCTGGAAAAAATATTCAATATTACCCTCAAATCAAACAAGCAAAACCTTTCATGCTTTTTCTTTCAAAATAAAAATCTCACCTTCTGTTGTTAGAACAAATACTTAAGCTATTAAAAGCACATCCCTTCCTGGGCCAGGAAAGAAAAATCTAACATCTAGGACTTTAAAATTAAAGCCATGGGCTTTGGGGTCACCCAGCTCTGAAAAATAGTGGGTGTCTTAACAACTAAAGTTGAGTCTGAATTCTTAAAAAACAAAACAAAACAAAACAAAGCAAAAGAAAACAAAACAACAACAACAAAAAAGCCAGAGAAGGGACTCCAGCCTGGGTTTTAGCAGCTCTGCTTTCTGGCACAGGGGTCCTGTTCCCAGAAGCTGAGTGAGTCGGAGCTGAGCCCGGCCGGCAGGGAGGCAGTCTGGCTAGGCTGCAGATGAGCAGAGAGAGGGAGAGTGAGGCTGGGAGCACGTGTTACATCAGACACAGTACCTGATTTTTCACTGCACAGCATGTCAGCTAGATGGTGTGCCTCCTGGGCGATAAGTGCGAAAATCTCATCCTCATACTTTTCAATGATGGCTTCGCACTGCAGAAACACAATAGCAACACGTGTGAGCAGCGGCACATGGGCAGGGCCCCTGATTAGCACAGACTTAGCGACCTTTTAGTAGTGGAACACAGGAAAGCATGTAACCAAGGAAGTTCATTTTCCTCGGCCCCTTTGGTTTGATACATCATTGCACAGGAGTAACCTTCCTCTAGGAATGCTAATTGTATCATTTTCCTGAGACTTAACTAAATGATTACTCTGTTGGAAAACCTCAGAGGAGGAGGAAGAGGAGAAGAAAACAGGAAGAAGGAAAGAAAATGGCTGGCTGTTTGTTTCTATTCCTGAAGTCTGGAGAGCAGTACACAGGAAGGAACCGAAAGCTTTCCTCTCCTATTTCCTTCAACATTTTAAAGACCACATTTCCTGGAAATGGATGGATCAGCTTCCTTACAATTTAACAGAATAACTCACTTTGTGGTTTGGAAATTTGAGATAACTGAGGCTCCTCAGCCATCATAACAGTTGCACCTCCCATCACTGGGGAGGCTTCTCCGCAGCCCCTTAGGACTGCTCAGTCGTGCATTTGCTTTCCAAAGCAAATAAAAATAAAAACAAAACAAGTTCACACTTCAGGCAGGAGGAAGCACAAATTTGCCGTGGGGTCTGAAAGTGTTAAATTCTGCCTGGAGTGTGTCTCTCCCATCAAGAACTATCAGGCGGCCTTTTTTGGAACTGTGGGTTACTGATGGCCATCCACTGGAGACTTGCAAACCATCTCTGAGTTCATTAAGCAAGATACGAAGAATTTTAAATGGCATTCAAAAATATTTAAATTCCACTATAATGTGTTTATTTAAAACCTGTGAAAGACAAACACACTCCCATCGCCATCCAGGTTCCATGGGGCTTTTAGCTTTGAATTATTGCCCTCACTTTTTAATTAAAATGAAACCTCCAAATGTCAGCTACAGCCCCATGTTGGGGTTGCAGCATGCCTGACATTTTGGCCACTGTGTGAACTTAATGCAATTTTAAAAAGACAGTCCTGCCCATCACTGTGTGATTCAACAGCATTAAGGGGAAATGCATTGCAACTTATTTTGCCAGGCACACCCTACTAAGCCAGAGGCCAACGTTTTTGTAAAATCAACTTTATGCTGAAGGAAATGTGGGATTGTGCTCTTAACCCTAAGGCTTGGTGTAGCCCAGCCTGAGCAACAAAACTGGAATTAACTGGAGGAAAACATTCTCCTTGAGAAGCCTGTGGGGGATAGAGGAGAGGATCTTGGGGGCTACCACTCCAACACTGAGCTATAAATACTTGAAAAGGACTCTTGGCCTCCATTCGGATTTCAGCCTAGAAACCACAACCTCTGCCCTTCCTTAGGTGAAAGTCTGAGACACAGTTCCTTCAAAACAAGACAGGATGAGGTCACCCCACACCAGCAGAATGTCCTGATAAACAATGTGCAAATGGTACCAGACAGGGGACACAGGGCACCGTCCATAAAACCCCTGTCAGTCTCCCCACTGATCACGGAAGGCTGCCACGATCCCTGAGATGCCTCCCAAGCCAGATCCCTAAGCTTTCAGTGAAGACTTAAGCAGTGGGCCAGCATAGGACACTGGGGCATGTCAATGTACCTGAATGTCCACTGCTCATCAACAGCTCAAGAGTAGCCCCAGGAAGAAAAAGGAGACCCCAACAGACTGTTAGGAGGGTGCTTACCGCGAATTTCAAAGGTTTGAAGGCATCAGAATAAAAGAAGAACTTTTTATATTCTTTGTATATTTTGTCTCCCTTTCTCGGAGCGTATCTCCTGAAATACTTCTGCTTGGTCACTGGGTCGTCCTCCAGCTGGTAATCGTTCATTCGCATACACACTTTATCCAAAAGGTCGACGAGGAACGCCTCGGACTGGGCCAGGGGAACCTACAAGAAGAACAGAACCAGCCAGGACACTTGCCTACGCACTCGCGAGTCCAGCGAATGCGTGGAAGGTCGGCTTCCCAATGGAAAGCAGCTGCACCGTTCTTTATGTAGCTTTAAGAGAGCTTAAATTCTAGCGAGAAAAACAATATGCTTGTCAGTGGACAGTAAGAAACTGAACAGTCTAGAAACTGTACGTATAGATGTCATTTTAAAAAGTTGAGTAGAGGCTGAAGCACAGAAAATGGGAGGAGATGGGGGCGTCGATAGCGCATCAGTTCTGTGGGGAAGCCACACTTCTGCCCATCCCACGTCGCGCTGCCCCCCCTTGCCTTCCGGGAATCTTGCGGCCACTGTGCCGGGTCTATGCCGAGGTGATCGAGGTGATCGTAGGTAGCGGGACCCTGGGCGCTTCTCATAGGCCCGAGCTTGCTCTGGGAACAGCTGGCGCGCGTCCCGGGCGCCCCTCTCCCTCCCGGACCTGCCGGGGCGCGCCGGGCTCCGTGCCACCACCTCCGCCCGGGGCGCGGGTCAAAGAGCACCCCGCGCCCTTGGAAACCGAGACAAAACCTCGTGCGGCGTCTAGACGGGTCAAGGTGCAGGAGGCCTGGTCCCCGCGGCTCCTTCCGGAAGGGGCGTAGAGCCGCCAAGGGCGCCCGGCCGGGCCCGCGGCTTTGCGCGCTTTCTCCCTCTCCACCCTCTGCTGATCAAAGAAGGAAGTTTGCATGACAACCGCGCTGAAAGGGGCTGCATGACAAATGAACTCGGTTTCTGCAGTGTTGATATATCCAGCCCCCTTTGTCCCTTTTCACACGCAGTGTGAACCCTTCCGGTGCCAACGACTGCGCGACATTCACAGGCGCGCTCAGGGCGCACAAAGGGTCCCGGTGCTTCCCCGCCATCTGGCCGCAAAGCCGATCTGCAATTAACATGAAAGCGCGGACGGCCTGGCTCGTGAGGAACACCCCCAGGTCGCCGCTGCCCCCAGCGCCCACCAGAAACCGACCCTGGGAGTGCGCTTACGCAGAGCGCAAAAACGGCGCGCCAGGACCGCGCCCGTTCTTCGCCCCGCGCCTGCTGCGGCCCAGGTGAACCTCAGGCCGTCAGGAACTCTCAAAGCCCTGACTTTGCAAAAGCAATTAATTAAATACGTCTGCGAACTAAAATGAGAACACTCCGCAGCCGATGTCAAATTCTTCAAATTCACCAAAATATATACAAATATATTGAGAAAACGAAAATTCTACAAGGGCACTTTCAATCACAACTGGTATTTTATTTTAGTTTTTCAAACTTGGTCAGTTGCAAAAGAGAAATTCACAGGTTTACTGACTCAACTGAAAATCGAGTAGCTCATGGACAGTTCGGTAAACTTGGCGTGGGAGTGGGGCACAGGGAAAGGCAAGAGATCCGCAAAATGGAATCTTACGTTAATGACTCAAGGCGGGCCTTTAACACAAAGTCTGGCCGGCGTTTTCAGTGGTGCCAGTGTGTTGAGCGTCTTTCCTTAACGGACACATGTAGATGGCAGTTTCTAGTTGTCCACAAGAAAAGATTTTAAGTCACAGCGAAGGGTGGTATCGTTTATAAAAAACAAAACAAACAAAAACCCTAAAAGCAATCGGGAAATTCACTCTGCTTCCCTACCCCATCAGAAAAGAAACAGGACTCTATGCATGGGGGTGGGGCAGGGCTTTGGGGGAGGGCCCAGGATGGGGAAGAGGACCCTGGGAAACCCAGTCCTGTTACCAGGCCAAGACGGTCCTCACACACTAACGTTTCTAGTCGCTTCCCTAGAAACTGTTTTGTTTTTCTTCCCATTTCAAATTGACCTAATACTCTGAGCTGTGTGCAGAAGATTGCTGGGCCTTGAAAGTCTGGAGCAAAGTCATGGAAGCCTCCTACACGTTACTTTTGAGAACTTTGGGACAAAATTTTTCTGGGTTGCACTTTTTGTAAAAAGTCCTTCACAGTGTCCATAACTGTGAGTTGTTTTTAAAGTACAACCTTAAACCTTTGGATGCCCTGCTTTAACACGAATAGGTTGGTGTGTGTGTGTGTGTGTGTGTGTGTGTGTGCGCGCGCGCGAGCATTTCTACAGATTTTTTTTTAAAGTCTGAAGATTGACAGGTTTTGAATAGCCTTAGCTAGCTAGTCCTTTGCAGGAGTCTTTAAAACCAGGCGCAGTTGCTGGCTGAAGTCTTACAGGACATTATAAGCTCCTCCGGAAAAGAGAAGGGAGCCTTCCCAACATGAAGGTGCTGAGATCATTTTAGGGAAGAGTCTTCAAATTTTGATCTTAAAATCCCCGAGCACCGGATATTGGAAAAATATTTTTAAAAGATGTTTCTCATCACAGTTCTTTATACATGCATTAAAATCTACACTAATATGATTTCACTCAAATGAACCACTACCTTTAGTAAATTTAAAGACTGTACATAGAATAATTGACCCCCCCCAAAAAAATTTGTTCCGATTCTAAGAATGCATTAGTACTGAGACAAGTGGAGTAAGAACCAAGTCTTTCTTTGTACACAGTGAGGGTTTTGAATGGAACTTGTCAATAAAGCGACTCCCTTTGTGATCTTCCAGGAACCTCGCCTCCGCCAAGCAAGGACTGTCTCAGAGATACTAGCCTCATTAAAATATGAATGGAAAGGGCCCTTGTCACCACCGCTGTGTCAGTAGAGAACCGGCTCAGGCTTCTCCAACAGTTTTCTCGCTGATTTATGGCGACTCCCATAGAATGTTAGAAATGTAAAAATGATCCAATACCGTGTCCTCACTATCCTGGGGAACCTGAAAGTAAACCCAGCACCTCCCAGTTTCACCTCTACATCCCCTGTGGCACACGCACTGTCCAGACACCACCCCACCACCTTAGGCTTCTCCTAACCACTGGCCTGTGAAGTGAGCCGGGGAAGGGGCGTAGGAGGTGCCAGACCACAACTTTGAAACGGAAGCAAAGTTCTGGCTTGGTTTCTCCAGGAGTCTGCAGCGAGGGAGTTGGCTGCAGACTTCCATGACTACACTTTAATAGCGGCCAATTACAGCATGCTCCATGTTTTTTCATTACTGTGTCTCTGTTAATCTTGTAGCAAATTTCTTGCTTGATAGCTATCACAACCAGGCAGGAATACAATTATGTCACAGCACAATGGACGTGGAGACGCTAGTAGTGATGCGTCCCCTCTCTGCCATCACAGCCTGACAGTCGCCAATAAGCTTCATTCATCTTCATGACTGTTTTGTAGTTTTCCTGCAGATGTGAAGCTGGCACTTAACCTGCTTAGTGGCTGATCATTTCTTATTGTTGCAAAGGTTTTCCTTTCTCAAGGGTTGGTTAATGTAGCAATTATAAGGGCTTTGTAGCAAACATTGGATCCAGTTTAACTGCTAACTTTCCATCCGTAAAGAATGGAACCACCAGAGATATTAGCTTAAAGTCAATATTTAGCCACAAAAAGTTACAGCTGCTCACCTTAGGCTTGGATTCAGGAACTCTTGTGGGCTGATGAGACACACAATTAGCTTTTATGTTAATTGACTGCTATGAGTTTGTTGTATGACATGCCTTCTATAATATGTAAATTGGTCGACTGTTTGGTTTCATTAGACAATATGATTACAAATCTGAAGGAATTCATTTTGATGAGAAATAATAAATGCTGATGCATTTCCAGCTATATATATGTATCTATGTGTGTTATATAAACATATATATATATATATCTGGAAATTTTATCTGTAGATATATGGGGGGGGTGTCATATCCAAACCCAACTGATAAGAGAGCTTTTTTTTTCTGGTAGTCTAAATTTGAAGAGTAACTGGAGCACCACACAATGCTCAGCACTGGTGCTTCAAGATTCCTCAAACTCCCTGACTGGACAGGTGGGCCTGTGAGCAACTGCTACAGGATCCTTGCTTTTGAAAAAACCATTTCTTGCCAACTGAATGATGGAAACAAGCCATTCTGATTTGAAAGGCTATTTTTGCAAGTGTTTTCTGTCCTTATCATTAGAGTATGAGGGTTATGGATTAGTAACATATATTTTCAAGGAGTTGAAAATTAGTAGCAAAATGAGAACCCTGTGATTTAGAGGAACCTCCCCTCCAGACTTCAGGCACATTTTTTTTTACTCTGGAGTTATCTTCAACTGACAATGAGAGAAGAGAATAGAAAAGAACCTACGGCGGTCAGCATTAATGATCACGGGGTGGGGGAGGGGTCATCTAACTCAATTTCTTAAGTTAAAAAATAAGCATCTTTCTTTCATTATGAAATATTAAATTGTTGCCACTATTAGGTTTATCATTTTTTTAAAAAAATACTCTGCTTTAAAAAATAGATTTTTTTAAAACCTATTAAGTTTTGAATGCAGGTAAAATGAAAAACATAGCTGCCCATACAAAATATGGCCAATTTCCAACCTCTGTGAAGTCCTGTGAGCAAAGGCTCAGGCACAGTGTCTCTATGTGCCTCGCTTTGTCCTGCACTTAGTGCAGTATGGAGAGTCTGCTGCTTCAAAAGCTCCTGATCAGAGCGCCCACCGGGGCAGTTGCAGACCAGAGTAGAACAAGACTCAGTTTATTTAAGGCTGAGGAAAGCTGGAGACCAGCCTGGGCTACACTGTAAGTTTCTGGGTAGCCTGGACTACAGTGCTCTGTCTCAAAAGATCAAAATTTAAATAGAAATAATATTTTTATTCATTTACCAAAAATTACTAGGCCCTATCTACAATGTAGACAAACACATTTGTCAAATACAGACTTTTAAAAAATATATTATTGCTTTATTTTATGTGTATAGGTATATGCATGCCTGTGTACCACATGTGTGGCCACAGAGGGCAAAATTATGAGCTGCTATATGAGTCCTGGAAAATAAACAGTCAAGTGCTCTTGACTGCTGAGCCATCTCTCCAATTCCAAATACAGATCTTCTTAAAGACTCTCCATGATTCTGTGGTGTGGGAAGTCCTCTGTCTATGTGTTGC